ATTTACAGTGTAATCAGTGAGGGGATTCTGCAGACTGTTGAGGGTTCAGCCTCCTGATGAGTCGGTGAAACTCCGACGAAACAGTTTGTCACAGCCCCTCGTTTGTTGTCCTCTTCTCTCTCTCTGCCTACAGTTTATCGGGCAGTTCTGTTTGTGACGATATATATACAGAGAGAGAGAGAGTGAGAGAGCTGTCTGCGCTGCTCCTTGCTGGGCTCCTCGCGCTGCCTTTGCTGAACCAATTGCCGGCCATGCGGCGCTTGCTCTGCGTCTGCTATGGTCGCCTCGTTGCGCTGCTTCTTCCTCCCTCTGACGATGAGGTTAGTGGCGGGCATGCAAGCTTGAACGTTGTTGTGGGACGAAGGGCGACCGAACTCGCAAGGCAGGTGGATGAATTCAAAGACTGCGCCCACTACGAGGCCGCCACGATGCAAGGACGACATTCAAACAGGCAAAGAACATAGAAGAAAGAAAACTTTCTACAATAAAAAAAAAAAAATATGGCCCTACCAGATGCCCCTTCCGAGCTAAAAACAATATGCTCGTATTTTTGGTCAGCGGCCCTAGGCGCGACCAAACGCCCTGGACCACCAAAAAAATTTTTGGTCGTTGGCCAAAGGGTCTCGAATCCGGACCGGGATCCGAACACGTTCATCGGATACCGGACGGTCCGGATCGCTGCTATAATATTATGTTAACGTGACAGTTATCTTATGTTATGTATATTACTATATGGTCTTATATTTTTTGTTATGTATTTTGTTATGTTAGCATTGTTAGGTATATTTTGTTGTCTTATGTTATAGTATGTTATGTAACTTATGTTATATTATGTTATATTATATTATATTATGTTATGTTATGTTTTATTATGTTACATTATATTATCATATTACTATGTTATGTTGAATTTTATGTTATGTTATGTTGTGCTATATTATGTTATGTTATGTTATGTTATATGATGTGATGTGATGTTATGTTAATAATGTAATTATGTTATGTTATGTTATGTTATGTTATGTAAGGTTAGGTTACGTTAGGTAAGGTTAGGGGTAAGGACTTAAAAATTATTATGGGATTGTTGGACAAGTTTCACACAACTCCAGTAAAATATAATGATAAAAATGATAGTAATACTATATTATCATCGTTGTTGTGATGAGTTTGAAACTTTAGAGAGAAGTTTTGACCACTAGGGTGCCTATGACTCTTTTTCAGTCCTTGACCAACAAATTGTCTGGGTAGATGTTTTCAACCAAATTGTACGTGTCCTCATTTGTGAGTTAGACGTACTCGTAGAGAAACGTCTGATTCTTCAATCCTGTATAAGGACCAGGAAGTGCCAGGGGGAGGAGGAGGGGGCTGCCGGATTTGTATGGCTTCTGATAGGTCGAAGCTGGTCTAACCTGATCTGACTAGACTGCTCGTCAAAATCAAGCAATATAGTGCAGTCTATGTATGTGCCTTGTCATCATATACGGGTGGCATAAGTCCGCTTGAAGGGGTGCGCTTTGCGATCCTTGTATTCATTTCCTCGCCCTCCCCTCTTTCCTTTTATTTTCCCCCATGCTTCATTGTTATCATGCGATCGCTCTGATTTGTTATCTGTCGTTGATTGTTTTTTTTTTTTTGTCATAAAACATAAACCAATTATAACGGAAACGTCGAAAACCCCAAAAGGAAAGACACACAATAAAAGGAAACAACGAACAACAGATAACAACAAATAACCCCCAACAACAATTCAATCGAATACTAAATATAACAACAACAAACAAAGAGATTCACAACCATCCAACCAAGCAACCAAGTAACCAACCAAGCAAGCAACCAACCGACCAGCCAAACAAACAAGCCAAGAAACCAAACAAGCAAGCAAACAAGCAAATAAACAGAAAACAAACAAGCAAACAAACAAATGGACAAGTAAACAAAGACAACAAACACAACTCAGAAAATATGTAAACAAAATACAAGTGGTTAACGGGGACCCCCACTTTCAGTCCCTGAGTAACGGGTCAAAAAGTGAAATTAGGGTTTGAGGGTCAAATTATATGTTTTTTTGTTTTTTTTTTGCTTGCTTTTGTTTTCGTTCAAGGTTGTTGTGTGCCAAATTTGGTATCATTTGGGGTATTGGAATTTCCTCCGTTAAGATTTCGAAAATTTTTCAAGATTTTTGAAATTGGAATGTTGGCGAAATTTCATGAAAGTACACTTTTGCCTCGCTGTTCAAGTAGTTAGTATGATTTCCACTCTATGAATTTGTGGCAAATTTGGTTAAAATTATACCTTGTTTTTTTTTAATTATAAATGGCTTGAGAACAATGAGAAGTTGTCTGAAAATGAGACCTCCGTTAACCACCTCACAAACAAAGCTAACCACCACACACAAACCAAACCAGGCAACCACCAGAAGAAAAAAACGAAGAAGAAGAAGAAGAAGAAGAAGAAGAAGAAGAAGAAGAAGGAAAAGAAGAAAAATACGAAGTAGAAGCGTGGCAAGAACAAAACCAAGAACAACTATTGCAGAAGTAACAATTATTGTTACATAGACATTACATAGTAACAAAGTGTACTAATACTAACCATCCTTTGTTTCTCTTCATTTTGCTTTCCTTTCTCTGTGCAGTGTCAAGTTGTTTGGAGCCCCATATATCTCCGTGACATGCTGTTGGATTCACGTGACACTTTTCATTTTCGTTGCGGAGACAAAACGGAGATCAAATTTACTTTATTTATGAAGGACCTAATTCCTTGTGAGGTCGTTTTCTTCCAACCAGGAAAAGAAACGTCTTAGACTCTTGCAACAAGCAATCAATGTCAATCAATCAATCAATCTGATTCAATCAAGCAAGCATTGAAGGAGAACTTGAAGCCATCAAGCAAGCAAGCCGACAAAGGCGAGATCATCAATCAATCAATGATTATTTGAACTTGTGTCGCATACACACTTTCATCTATTAAAAAAATACATATTTCAGCGATGAGGTCACCAAAGCTAGCCGGCGCCTCACGAGCTTTAGCGAGCCGGCTTGGGAGGAATAGAAGTCTCGACGATCCAAAATGCCTGGAAGAGAATCTGGAGTTGGTAGAACAATGGCTCTGCATTCCGGCCACTCTTCTCTTCACAGATGATGAAGACGCATTGACTGAAAGGCTTCCCGGAAAGGAGAAATGTACAGATCCTGACTTCCCTCCTGCTGCCAGCTCTTTATACAGGTATTTTGACCATCCCCCCACATCCCCCCTCGGCCCCCTCATCCCCAGAAAAAAAATTGTTGTTGTTGTTGATTTTTTTTTCCTTTTTTTTAAGGTACCGACATGGTTCTGCGATTGGCACGATTGGCAATAAAGAACGGTGTGAAACATATATAATTATGTTGATGAAGCAAAGGCCAGGCCTCTACCGCATGCATAATTCGGGCTGTAAGGTCATACAGTACTCAAACGACAGACCAATTTGTGCATTGTCTATTTTTTTTAATTTGTCTATGCCGAAGCTCAATTTGGGAAACAAACACATTAATTGTGCATCACTAACAAACAAACCAAGAACAATTTCTGCTTCATTGTAGACAAGTAAACCATGCGTAATTACACTATTTTGCGACGTTACCTGAGTGGCCCGAGAACACGTGCCTGGCCGAGACAAAAGTGAGTTAAAAAAAATAAAAAATAAAAATAATAATAATAATAATAATAATAATAATTCTAGGCTACCAGTCTGGCCGCCCGGGTCACCTTGCAAGAACCAGATAAGGTCCCAACCAAACAAAAACAAAAAACAAATCCAAAAAATCCGGAAAAAAACTATGCTATCCAAGAAAATAAACTGAACATTTTTTGCCTCAGGGTCACATCGAAATTGTTTACCAGATAAAAAATATTGTTGTTTTTTTTGGCCCAGCTTGCAAATAATTTCAATGTGACCATGAGGCAAAGGTTGTTCACTTCATTTTATTGCGTAACTTAGTGGGTTTTTTTTTTTTTTTTTTTTTTTTTTTTTTTTCCCTTCGTATTCTATCGGCTAGTGCTGTAGGTCTAATGGGTCCCACTACCGTCTTTGTGTTTTTTTTTTTTTTTTTTTCATGGGCGTTCCTTTACCCTTGCCTGGCTGGGCCACTGAGGCAGCCAAGGCGATTCGGGTTTTGTGGATTTTTTTGTCTATATAGACCAAATTATGAGCAAGCACAAAGTTTGGTAACCGATGGAATGACACATCCAACGACTACAAGTAACTGTCACTGCCAGTCTACCACTTTACTATTATGATCATCATTGGGAAAAAGACATGTTGTCGTTGTAGAAAGAGATTGACAATTAACTCCTAGTACCCAGCATTGTAGGTTAATGTCCACACATGTGACATGTGTAGCTTGTGAATCCGATTTTTTTTTTTTTTTTGAAATCCAATTTTTTAGTTATCCTGAGCATTGCTGTTTTTTTTTTTAGCTCTCACGAATTGATTGTCAGTGGCTTGATTGAAGAGTAGCAACGAGGTGGGCGAACAAGAAGAGAAGACACCAGAAGCGATCCATATATAAAGGCAGAAACCAAACTCCAAACTGGGATCGGGCATCAAGAGGGCGATGATGTCTCAGTCGTTTTGATTTAATGTGTAATGTGAATCAGACTATCTCCATTTAGAGAGAGAGAGAGAGAGAGAGAGAGAGAGAGAGAGAGAGAGAGAAAGAGAGAGAGAGAGAGGGAGAGAGAGAGTCTAGAGAGATGGCAAGCTCCGCCATGCAGATACATCAGTTGTATCTCACAATCCTGAACTGTCCATTCTTGCTGCTGTCCGCTTTAAACACCATTCATCATCACCATCATCATCACCATCATCATGGCAACATCATCATCATCATCATCGTCATTATCGTTATCGTTATCGTCATCATATCTTGAGCACACAATTTAATTTACCCTACCATTATTTCTTGTGTTGTTCTTCCTTTCTGTGGACAGCCCAACAGGCAGTTTTCTATCATCGTTTGCTACATAAAAGATGTATATGTACCATGCACCTCACCCAGAAAGGGAGAAAAAGGGCACCCAAAAACAGGAGTTGTGACAGATTGTGTCGTTTGACTCTCACCCACTCATTATGCATACCTTATGTACGTATGCATGTGTATGGCTATGCATGCAGGCATGTGCGTATACACTATGTTGCACGTAGGCCGCGGCCTGGTTCGGCCACGGCCGAGGCCGCCGGCCTAGGCCGGGCCCCCCCCCGGCCGCGGCCGAACGCAGCCGATAATTAAAAAAAAAAAAAAAATAATAATAATAATAAAAAAAACGGGTTTCGAGTGGGGCGGGGGTCCCCTACCTCCTCTCAAACAAAAAAACATAAGAACTTCAAAA